AGGTTCCGGAGTTAGCCGGATGGTCTCGCAGATTAGCAGCATGCAGGACTCATGATAGGCGCCGATGGCGAGATCTTTAAAAGGGAGGTGAGAGGTAGATTGTCGTGGTAGGTCTCTGGCATTCCCTTTCCACTCTTCTCTTTTATTTTTCGGGGGTGGCCTCCCCTTTGCTGATCTGCTCGGTTTCCCTACTGCAGGCGTCGGGAGTTCGTTCGAGGCGAGATTGCTGGTTCAAGAGTTGAGGAGTGCTGGTAAAAGGAAAGATGTTCTGTGGCGTGTGGAGGCTTGCGGTGAGGCACCTTCTCCGCAACAGCTGAGAGGAAATGATTCGATCGGTCGGACAGCTTCCAGGACCGAAGTTTTATTGAACATAGCTGTGGCCCTTGGTGAGGCTCGCCGTTCTGGTCTTGCAGTGAGTTTTTGCTTGCGATAAAGATGTTCCGGCCCGGTATTTCCTTCCTTTTTCTTCATGCACTTGGCTCCTTTTTAGGCTTTTGACAGGCTCAAAGCCGAGCTGCTTCGTCGCGAGACCCATATGCAGAACGCTCGAGAAAGGGGAAGGTCCCTCCAGCTTCTACATGCGGTAAAGGAAAGTCAGCTCGCTTCTTTAAGGCGCGAGGTGGACCGAAGCCGTGCCCGGGAGGTTCTCTTGGAGAAACAGGTATTCTGCCTTGTTGGCTCGTATTTCCTTCATATCTCCTTTTATACCTTTGCCGGTCTTTTGAAGTGCTGCTGTTCTAGTTGAAGGGTAAAGCGGATGAGCTGGAGCAACTCTGGGGCGAGGTTGGTCCCGGCAACCGCGAACTCCCTGAGCTGCGGGCACGCCTTAATGCTCATTAGGGGCTAAATAGAGAGTTCTGGCCGCGACGTCCGGTTTTGAGGCGCAACTTCAGGCTACTCGCGTCGATGATTCTGCTCGGGCGAAGATGATCGCGAGGTTCTCATCTGAGCTGTCGAGGGCGAAAATCGAGGTGGCAAACGTCCGGGCCTAGGTCGTAATAAATAGCACCCATTTAGGGCAAAAGATAGCTGCTTATTCAAAGAGCGCCGCCGTTGTTAGGGCCGAGTTGAAGAAGGCCCTTGATGTGCAATCAATAGCAGGGAGTACGAGAGGTGCAAATCCCGGAGGAAGACCCTTGAGGAGATTCATGCTCGAGGTTTCAATCTCTCAGAGGAGATCAAACATGCCGAGGGAGCGGAGTTTGATTCCAAGTTTCTGATATCTGATGATGAGGGGGAGGCCGAGGGGCCGTAGCTGCCAAAAGGGAAATAAAGGGGAACGAATATTCCCTGTCTCCTTTGTCGTGTATACACATATATAGATCCCATCATATGATGTGGACTGAGATTGTGCCCTGTAATCAATATATAATTAATAAGAAAGGGGGAGCCTTGTAATTTGTAAATTTTGCGTTTTTGATCGCTGGAGTTTTCCCACCGGACCGATTCGATCCTGGAGTAGCCTTAAGGCTTGAGTCTCAGGTTCAGTTTCTGAGTAGGGATCCTAACTCGAGCTTATTTTATCCTCGAGCCTGTTTGGGCTGGGGAATTTCCTGGTTCAGTCTCTGAGTCGCGTTGCGATTTGAGCTGTAATCGACCCTTAAATTTCATCTGTTTTTGTCCAGCAATGGTAACCTTCCACGTTGCTAGGACATCGGGACCTTTTAGCATGAGGCCCGGAGGCATGCCTATTTGGCGACAGTGGCGTTTATGTTGTTTGGTCATAGAGACCTTTCGATATAGGGCCTGGAGGCTCGCTTAGCCAGCGACAATGGCACTTACGATGTTTGGTCGTAGAGACCTTTTGATATGAGGCCGGAGGCTTTGCTTAGTTTAACTATTTTGGATCCGGTCTCCGAGTCGGGTTACGATTCGAGCTCTCTTTGATCCTCAAGTTGTCAATTTTTAATTTGATGGTCGTAGAGACCTTTTGGTGTGAAGCCCGGAGGCTTTGCTTAGCTGGCGAAAATGGTGCTTACGCTGTTTGATGTGAGGCCCGGAGGCTTTTGTAGGATTTATTTTCCTCTTGTTAAGGTCTTATTGATTATTTTGCCTAACCCGTTGTCGGTTCTAAAAGAAACTCGATTTCAAGTCGTAATCGGCGATGTTTTGAGCACCTCGGAAGGTTCATAGCCCATAGGTCGAGTAGATCGACGCTTTTTCGGTTCTGGAGCCGACAAGGTCGGCACTCTTTTTTTTCCCATTGAGGGAAGCCTATGTTTTAACTGGTTCTTTCCGAAGTAGATTTGGAGGATTTTTTAGCAACAGTCGGGCGTCCCCGAGTCGCGTTTTTTGGGCTGTAGCAGCCGTTTCGACCGTAGTCGTGTGCATTTGGCCGGGGCCATTTTTGATCCCGGGAAGCAGTTTGAGGCGTCCACACCGAGGGTATGCCCTTTAGGGATTCGTACAAATGCGACGTGTAGCCTAAACTACAGGATTTTTCATGCCTGTTAAGGTCTTACAGTTTGCCATGCCTGTTGAGGTCTTACAGTTTATCGTGCCTATTGAGGTCTTACAGTTTATCGTGCCTATTGAGGTCTTACAGTTTATCATGCCTGTTGAGGTCTTACATTTTAGGGAGAATAGATTTGGTTTTGCCGAGGCTGCCCGTTAGGGTCTTACAATTTTTGATTTTCCAGTGTGTGGCGATTGGCGACAGTCTCCGAGTCATCGAGTTCTCTTGAAGACAGCTTCTCGTGAGCTCGGAGCTGTTTTCCGAAGGCTTGGTAAGCCCGGAGTTCCGACCCTGGGGTCGTGCAAGTTGTCGAATTGCTCATGGTGAGTCTCCGAATATATCGGCTCATTCTAGGCCTAATTACCGCCTTTTGTAGCCTTGGGGCCATACCGCGAGGGCTTTGTGAGCCCGGAATCGTGACTCTGGGGTCGCGAGGGTGCCGAATTGATTAAGTCTCCCAGCGTTTCAGGACGTATTTAATATAGAGGTTCTTTGCTGAGGATAAGCTGAAATATTTTTCTTCGAAGCGTCGAATGCTTGGAAAATATTCCTTATTGCTTGTCCAAAATATAAGTTGTAAATACATGTTGTTGTGTTGTCGTGAGTCTGGTCTATATGGGTCTGACTCTCCTGATTATCTGACGTGCTTGTATGGTCCCATATTGGAAAATAGAGAGAGAGAGATTGTGGACTTGTTGGGTCCCTTCCCTGGGGACGTGCAGTCCTGCTAATAATCTTGTTGGCAGAACCCTCTTCCTGATAGAAACCCGATCGAGGAAAGAATGTCGGGCGGCCCCATGGCGACTGCGGGTCCTCGAACGGTATCTAGAACTAATGAATGCCTCGGCTGCCTGCCTGTGTACAGATTAGCAACAAGAAAAGAAAAAGGAAAATGATAAAAGGATGTTGCATCCCTGGGAGTATGCCCCTCAGCAGTTGTATTCCTCGTCCGGCCAGGCCGGGGAGAAGATGCGAGTGCTCTTACCTTCTGACCGCGTTTGAGGGTAACGTCGGTCATGGGCTTAAGACGAGGAATCTCCTTCTGTCGCTTGTAGCCAGATGCGTTGGCTCCGCGTCTTTTATGGAGTTTCACACCCTTAAGTAGGGCCGGGTCGCGTCCCGGGCGACGTATTCTTCGTTGTCTGTACAAAGCATCTGCATCCTTTGTTACCCGACGTATTAGCCCGAGCTCGGGCGGGCCGCGCAGGGGGAGCAATTTGGATGTTGTGGCAACCGCCATTGCAGACATATTAGCGGTCCGGCATGAGGGCAACATTGGTCCGGACTGTCCTATTGGCTTTGGCCCGACATTGTCGGTACAACTTTGGCTTATATACCTGTAGTCATTAATGTATGTTTTATTTGAAAATGAGCTCGAACGAAAGAAGGGATTACCAATACATTAATGCGATGCCGAAGTGGAGTCTCGGTGTCCTTTTTCCTCGAGTGAGAGGGTGTCCTCGGGGAGTACTCCCCGAGATCGTTCCTTTCTGGCGACGGGCACTTGCATTCTATGTTCTATGGATCTTAGCGGGGTGCCTCCATCCTTTAACGATTGTGACGATATTCCGCAGCTTGCCGACCCTGCTTTGTTTGATTTCCCCTTGTTCGTTGAGCTGGATCCGAGTTCGCTTGCTTGGTGATGCTTTGTGGTCACCTTTGTTGGATGGCGTAGTTGCTGCTCTCTTGGGTCTGTAACTCCGAACATTTCATGACTCTCGTGGTGGGCCACGGTTTCGTTGGAGGGATTTTGGTCGAATAGGTCCGAGCCACCCGGAGTTCCCGGCTTTACTTATGGTGACCACTATGTTTGGAACTGCAACATTGAAATCGAACTTTATCGGGCGAGGTTTCCTTGCCAGTTTCGTTTCGTTGAATCTGGTATCATGGTGGTTCCTCAAAGATGTCGTCTTCGGGCCACCGCCTTGTTGTTGCGAGATGCATTGTGCCTCAAAACGTTTCTTTCGTTCGTGCCATGTGGACGATGACCCCGTTCGTTCAATGTCGGCTTCTCTGTTGGGGATCTGCCTGGATACGCTGATCCAGCGGGGGTCTCTCGAGGGTTATCCGCGGCTCTGACTTGGGTCTGGTGTTGGTTGCTAGTATATGACCAAGCCTCGATCGGATATTCGACTGAGCTTCGCACGAATTGCTCCGGAGCTGCCGGGTATGCTTTGTTTGGGTTTTGGGCGAAGGCCCATGCCACCCTATTATTCGGGACCGGGAGTGGTCTCGTTTGTCTTGTCGGATAGCGGGGCGCGGCTTCCTGTGATATTTTATTTCTTCTTCTTCTCCCAGCCTTTGGTGCGTTGAGCTCTTCTGGCATTATTTTGATGGCGTTGGCGCGTGCTTCCACGAATTGCGATAGTATGGTGAGCGAGTTCTCGAGATCGGATGTCGAACAATGATGTTGCATCATGGTTTCTTCCGGGGGAATTTCTTCAAATCTCCTCATCGGGACGGGCCCGAGTTCTCCATTTTGGGGCTCGTCGTTCCTGAACAGGCGTGCGGAGTGGTGATGTACCTATGAGGACTTGGGGTTCTGTCATCCCCAGGGAATTTCGTTGTTTCTGACTTCCGCGAAATGAGTCTCGGGACTGTATCTCCGGGAGACGGTTGCTGTAGGAGTCTCCGCGAGCTTGAGTTGATCTTTTAGATAATGTCCTCTAGCATCCTTACCGTTATAGGATAGGTCGTTGGTTCGTCGTTGCCCGATACCTTGGATACTGGCTCGGAGCGAGTAGATATTTTGGATAGCTAAACATTGTTCCTGCAACATTTCAAAAATAACACGAAGATCAACTTCCTTTCTACCGGGGGCTGGGATTTTTCGGGTTTCCTGTCAGTTAGCGTGTTGTGTTCCGCCGTCGAAGTGCAAGACTTCGTTACCCGTTGTGCAGCGTATGAATCCATATCCACTCGGACTGATCTGGATGCGTTACCGGGGTCCTGCGGTGTTGTGCCAGCCGTTAGGATGGCCACATTATTTTCCTTGCGATTTATGGGGTTATCGTCCTCGATTTCCCTTATCGAGCTGACCATTAACCTGAAATCGAAAGGTCTCGGGCAAGAAAAAGTGTGAGAGATATCGTACGTTTAAGTGACGAAACTAGCAAGAAAATAATCACTATTATTTTTAGCCCCACGGTGGGCGCCAAACTGTTTACCGTTAAAATGGTAACAATAATTAAATTTGTAAATGGGATTCTTAAAATACGTGATCTATTCTCGAGCTAGTTTGAAAGGGTGATTATTGCTAAACATGGAGTAAAACAGTAAAGATTGAGCAAGCCAAAGCGATAATCGAACCAGTCAGGGATGTTCCCAGGTTTAGGAAAAGCCAATAGATACCTCGGGGCCAGGCCTCGAGGCTACCTCGGGCCTATCGAAGGTAACCTTATCGAGGGTAATCAGGAAGGTGATAACAGATAAGTATGTGCATACAAGGCTTTATACCGTCAATATTGAGCTAAATGACGAAGAACAAACGAAGAACAATAAAATGCTAGGGCGACCTCGGGGTCGAAGAACACTGATAATTTAGAAGAAAGAGAGAGAGAGATATTATTGCTTATTGGAGAAGTGGAGCAACATCTGTCCTTTACAAGGTGGGGTGAGTCCCCCTTATATAGGCGTGAGGACTCAATAAAATATGCATATATTATTTACAAGAGTAGAAATATGGGACGACCTATCGCACGTCATCTCAGTAGGTTACAGATAGCCGGCCCTGTCAGGTGTAGCCATGCGCTCCGAAGTCATCTTCTCTTACCCTGACCTCGAGCCCTGCTTCCTTTGATTCGGACCTCGATGAGCCCGGAGGTCGAGAACTCGATCATAGCCTTCCATCCTCGGGGTCTCGAGGGAGGCTTCCCAAATTGTCTTGATAGCGAAAATCAAGTCTTCTGATTTTTACCGCGTACAGAAAGCTATAATTAAACATTGGAATTGGGTTGTTTAGCATTTATTGATGTTATTAAGTCGATTATGTATAGATTCGATTGGGTTGGAGCCGAATTTGGAAGGAAAAGCGATGATTGAGGCTCGAGTTGGCCGTGGAAGTTCGAGGTGAGTGTTTGGTCTAACCTTAGCTTAAGGGATTAGGAGTCGAGTTCTATTTGCTACGTGATTATTGTTGATTACGACATATAGGCATGGTGACGAGTATCTATGCGTTGATGTCTAGCATGACCGTGAGTCTTATAATGTGATTTTCATGATTTCGTTGAATAATCTATGCTTTAGAAGTGATTTCTATTTGTTGTGAAAAGATAAGGAAGCAATTGTGACTTTTGAACATCGAGGAGCAATGGCTCAAGTTATATTACGAATTTGTGAAGGTAAGTGAGTTGATTGAACCCTTTGGAGCATTGGCTCAAGTGCTAAAGCGAGTTGTGAAGTAAAAGTGAAAAGAGAAAGAGTTATTAAATTTTTCCCTTGCCGGGATATTAATGCTTATTTGGTTATCTCCCTTGCCGGGATGTTGATATTGTTGATGTTGTTCCCTTGCCGGGATTTAATTGTTTAATTGTTGCTCCCTTGCCGGGATTCCTATTATATTCTTGTTTATTCCCTCGCCCCATGGTTGTGATTGTTGTTGGGTGAGGAAGAGTGATAAAGCACGAAGGGTGATGCCGTGCATTGTTGTTTTGGGAGGAAAGAGTATAAAGCACGAAGGGTGATGTCGTGTATGATTGTGAGGAAAGAGTGTAAAGCACGAAGGGTGATGTCGTGCCGCACGATGTACTATTCCATGCCGATTCTATTGATTACTTGGTTGTGAAAGAGAGTAAAAGCACGAAGGGTGATGCCGTGCACATTTCTATTATATATTTGCTTTGGTGAGGACAAGAGTAAAAGCACGAAGGGTGATGCCGTGCATTTATTGATTCCTGATTCCTTATTGGTATCCGAGTTATGTTGTTTCTTTCCTTACTTGATGCCTTTCTATTCATAACTATTATCTCCCCCACAGCTTGTTTCCCTTTCTCACATTGACTGGTTATTTTTGTATTTTCTTTTCCGCAGTATATATTGAAACTGCACAGGTTTATTTGGTAGTTTGGTCCTAGCCTCGTCACTACTTCGCCGAGGTTAGGCTGGACACTTACCAGCACATGGGGTTGGTTGTGTTGATACTACACTCTGCACTGTGTGCAGATTCCGGAGCAGCTTTCGGACAGTAGTTGGAGAGATTCCTTCAGTCCACCCGGAGACCCAAGGTAGACCTGCAGGCGTCCGCAAGCCCTGGCGTCTCCCTCTATCTCTATTTCCTGTTTCCTTCTTTTTTATTCAGAAACAGTGTATTGTTCTTCTTCAGATCGTGTATGTAGTAATCTTAGATAGTCTGTGACACTGTGACACCAGATTTTGGGTATTTGAGGTTTTAGAAGTTGTAATAGACGCTGATTCCAGATATTTTATTGTTACCTTCCGCTTAATTATTTAAAGTTTCGCTGATTTCATGTTATCGCTTATATTTGTTAAAAGGAAGAAATTTGTTAACGAAGTAAGTATTTAAGTTTTGGCTTTCCTAGCTCCCAATAGTAGGCGCCATCACGACTCCCGAGGGAGGGAAATTAGGGTCATGACACAGGCATATGCCCAAGTCCCATATTTTACCATGGACCTCCTGCGATCGTCGGAACACAAATCCGGGTCCATTTACAAAAAATGTTGACCAAAGTCAACTAAAAACCAAATTTTAACTCTAAAAATTACTATTTTTTTCATATTTTCACATAAAAGCTTTCCGGTTTCAAGTTCGGACTGTGCACGCAAGTCGATTCACATAACATGAAGCTACTCGTGACCTCAAACTACCGAATCGGATGAAATTGCTCAAAACGACTAGTCGTGTAACGACCCGACCGGTCGTTTTGAGTCCTAGCGTGCCGTTCAGCGATTTGAGGACATGAGCAGCTTCATTTCAGGCATTATGACTTGCAGGCACGGTCGGAATTGAGTATCGGGAAATCCGTAGTTGATTTGGGAAGAGAATTCCTATTTCAGGAGCCTAAAGTTGAAAGAATGAACTAGGATGGGAATTTTGGGCAAACGACCTCGGAATCGGGATCCGAAGGTTCGAGCAGGTTCGTATGATGATTGCGGGCTTGGGCGTATGCCCGGTTCAGGTTTTGGATAACCCGGGAGGGTTTTGGCGCCTATTGTGGAAGTTAGCATTTTAGAAGGAATTTCATAAGTTTGGCTTGAAGTGCATTTCAGTGTTATCAATGTCCGTTTGGGATTCCGAGTCTGTGAATAGCTCCGTATGGTGATTCTGGAGTTGGGAGTGCGATCGGAAGTGAATTCGGAGGTCCGTAGGTCATCTTGGAGCCATTTGGCTAAAGATAGAAATTTGAAGGTTTTTGAGAAGTTTGACCGGAAGTGGACTATTTGATATCGGGGTCGGAATCCGATTCTGAAAGTTGGAGTAGGTCCGTAATGTCGAATATGACTTGTGTGCAATATTTGAGGTCAATCGGACGTGATTTAATAGGTTTAAGCATCGAAAGTAGAAGTTGGAAGTTCTAATGTTCATAAAGCTTGGATTGGGGGTTGATTCATGATTTTAGCATTGTTTGATGTGATTTGAGGCCTCGAGCAAGTCCGTAATGTGTTTTAGGACTGGTTGGTGTGACTGGTCGGGGTCCCGGGGCCTCGGGTGTGTTTCGGGTTGTATCGCGCTCTTATTTGATGTTTCAATATCGTTTCTTTGGACATAAAAGGGTACCATATTAAGAAAATGAGCTCCAAATTAAGTTTTTATTGTACCATTAGATCCGTATCGAAATTACTGGTCCACAGCAAAAAGAATCGTTGAATTTGGACATCGTATGAGGGAGTTATTCTCATTTCTGTGTCGAGAAAAGTGCTGGTTGCTGTCATAACCGCAGATGCGGAAATTTTCCGCAGATGCGGAAACTGCTGGAGGCAGAGAGATTTCTTTAAAAATCGAAGTTTGACTCATTTTCACTTCATTTTTTCCATGGGAGCCGATTTTGGAGCAACTTTGGAGTGCCATTTTCATCACCAAGCATGAGGTAAGTGATTTCTACTAGTTTTGAGTATATACAAGGTTTATACATGGATTTAGACTTGGAAAATTGTAGAAAACTTGTGGGTTTGAGGGAAGACCTAGAAAATTAGTATTCTTGGGATTTGACCACGATTTTGGGTATGGAATTTAGAGAAAATCATATATTTGAGTTCGTGAGGCTATGGGCAATCTTTATCTTCGAAAAATTACGGATTCCGAGCACGTGGGCCCGAGGGCATTTTTGTCAACCTCTCGATCGGGTTAGGATTTGTTATAAATTGGATTATAATGAGTACCTTAGTATACATTAATGGATTTGTATTATCGTTTGCTAGCGTTGGAGCCTTGTGCATCGATTCGAGTCTTCGGAAAGGCGTGGAATGCCGGTTATGGATCTTTGGAGCGAGGTGAGTCTCCTTTCTAACCTTGTAAGAGGGAATTGTCCCCATAGGTTAATATAATTGATTAAGTGCTCCTACTTGCGGGGGCTACGTACGCACGAGGTGACGAAAGTCCGTGCGTAGCTACTATTATGCTATTTTCCGGGTTGCTAGGACCCAAAAGCATGAATGCTTGGATTATTTGTAAACCCTATGGTAGTTTGAATTGCTTAAATCACATGGAATTTGTAAATGAATTTCTAAAGGGATTAAACTTTACTTCTTAAAATTTGTTAAAAGAGAATTTGATACATTTTGATAAACATTCTCTGATAAGTTCTTACTTGATTG